GTGAGGTCATGACGATCTGGACTCAGCCAGTCGAGATGGAAAAGACTGAGTAAATTCAGGATATATTCTGGAAGTAAAACTGAGAGGATCTGCTAATGGGTAAGATGTGCGGACCTAGCACAGGGAAGAATTCAAGGGTCAATTTTACTACTTTTTGGGGAGGGGTGGGATGGGGGGAGGAAGTTAAGTAAATTAACTACACAGTAATCTGAAATGTTCTTTTATATTAAAATATAGTAAACTGGGGGATCCCTGGGTGGCGCAGCGGTTTAGCACCTGCCTTTGGCCCAGGGCACGATCCTGGAGATCTGGGATCGAATCCCACGTCGGGCTCCCGGTGCATGGAGCCTGCTTCTCCCTCTGCCTGTGTCTCTGCCTCTCTCTCTCTCTCTCTCTCTGTGTGACTATCATAAGTAAATAAAAATTAAAAAAAAATTCAAAAAAATAGTAAACCTTTAATAGTCACTACTTTGAATGACACTGCCCTCCAGACCGCGCCCCCCCCCCCCCAGCCAATTCTTCACAGCTTAAATGTGAAGGTCACAATTTAAGTGTCAATTTCTTGGGGAGGAGTTCCCTGACCATCCTATATGTTGTATCTTCTTTTCTCTCAGCCCCTCATATTTACCTTCCTTCTAGAATATAAGTTCCTCCTGAGCAAGGGCCTTGTAAATCTGCCTCCCACTGTCTCCCTGCACCCAAGCATAGGTCTGACAACATGAGAAGACATGAGAAGTGAACATACAAATACATTATGGATCAAAATTTACATTTTACATGAATCTTTAATATAAAACTTGAGAATCCAATGATATCATCATTAGCCCTTTTTCTGAACAGAACCCTGCACCCTGTGGTAGCTTTTTGCTCACCTTCTCTGCACCTAGCACTGTTTTAGGGAATAATGTGGAGGTGTCCTAGACAATGTCACTAATGATACTCTAGGTGTCTTGTGAAAATACAGTACATCAGCAAGCAATAAGGTGGCCTGTGACTCTAAACAGAGACGTTAAGAGAGAGCCCGCTTGACAAAGCTAACATTTATCTTTCAAAATCTAGGTGAAATTTTATAAGGGAAAAGCAAAAATGAATGCCATAAGGCTTATTAACAATACCATAAGAACTTTTCAAAAGGATTTTCAGATGAATAAAAATTTGTCTTTTATATCAAAAGGCAAGAATAAAGAAGGGTAAGAAAAAGTTAATATGCTTCTGGTTCAACTTTTCAGCAGATGATAGGAAAAACACCTCCATTTCAAAATGACAACAGATATTGAAATAGAACCACACAGAAAACTATTCTGCTTGGAAAATCCCACTTCAAAGCCTTCTCTCTTTTGTAGACCAAGAGTTAACTATATTTCTGTGTCAATGTAAAACTGAAATTGTATCTACCTACATTTCTTAAGTGTTCCTGATTCAGGAGGCTGGTAAAGGCTGGTGGGAGACAGCATTTTTAAACAACAACAAAATACTAAGAAGCTCAGAAGATCACTAGCTGATTGTGAGGGCGAACTTGCCAAAAGGAGGACTTGATGAGCTAAGAGCTTTACTCACTAGACAACAGGTCAGTATATTTTACCAGCTAAATCATAGAACCTGACTGGCTACTCATTATGTCAAAAACACACACACCCAATTGTAAAAATTAGTAAAGAGATTCCAGCTAATTCTTCTCAAATCAGATTCTCCATTTACAATTTTCTAAACAATGGGGTCTTTCCGCCAATGCAGGTAGCTTCCATATGTCAAGTGGGTCAGTAATAAAATGAAAAGCTGCAGAGAAACTTTAAAAAAGATATTTAAAAATGGGCTTTAAAAAAAAATGGGCCTTAGCAGAGAACTGACTGGAACACACCATGAAAAGATTAGTTCAGTACATGAATATTAATAGAAAAAACCCTGCAGTGTTCATAAATAGTTATGACAATGATAATTACAAATAATGCAAGTCAAAATTCTAGATCAGTTACAAGAGCCTGTCATGATGGTCCATCTATACCAAGCAAAAATATTTTACAACCCTAAGGGTTTCCATTGACAAACCTATCTACCTAAACAAAGATGACTTCTTTTGCTCAAATATCTGCCACCTTCCAATTTTTTTACAAATGAAAACTGGGAACACAGTGCCAGAGGGAAGGGCAACAGAATGTTTAAGCCTTAAGGCAGGCATTAAACCCACATCTGGGTTTCATAATAAAATAATTTAGGTTCTCAGTTTATGATTACTATGAAATGGAGAGTTGTATGGTCAGTCTGAAAAAAAAAAAAAAAGGAGGAGAGAAGTTAGAGGTTTGTGGGTAAGCAGCACAAGTGCCTTGTCATCCTATAAAAGGATTTCTGAAAGCTGGTTCTAGGACAGCTAACCCCTAACGAACAAGCAGTGAGACTTCTCGCCTTCACATGGCACGTGTTGTCTGATCTCGTCTCTCACTTCAGTTAATAGGAGCAGCAAAGAGACAAGTGCTGTTCTGTACTCCATCAGGCTGAAGCTGTTTGAAGAGAGGGCTGAGTGCCCTACTACTGTCCTGGACATGGGGTAAGGCAGGCCCCTTCTTGCAGAGACTGTGCAGGTCACTGTGGCAGACACTAAGCAAGGGCAAGATGAATGTCTCAAGCCTGGTATCTCCTGCCACCAGGTTCTTGAGTTCATGACTAGGTTCATATGTCATAATGTGTACAAGTATTTCACAGCCAATTGTGAGCATTAACAGCCTTTTTTTCTTTTAAGTAAACATACTGTGTTTCCATCTATGACAAGAGGATGTTCTTCTTTTCATTAATTACCCTCCCAAACAAGCCTACTCCACAATACAAAGTTCGAAACCACAAAATACACTGTCTTCACCAAGCTAACCTTAAATAAACATCTTTGCCAAACTGGAGATCCTTTGGTTTCACAAGACTCGACTTAATAAAGCAACAGAAAGAGCTTCTCGTTTTATAGAGCTATTTGGATTAAGAAATGGACAGTAATTTATGTAAATACATCAATCTCAAATGACTTCTCTCGTATGAAAAGGAATAAATAATGTAGATCACTGTGTTTTGGTTACAGCAAAGTCTCTGGTGGAAATGGCAGAGACATGTACACAGAGGTGAACATAAATAACCGTGTGTATGATAAACGTGGTTGCTGGAGATGGACACAGATAAATAGGTACACAATTGGAAAGAGATAGTTGGAGACAGAGGGAAAGACACTGGTTCAGCTGCACCTCAGCAATTTCACAAAGGTTTCATGGTCTAAAAAAATAAGCAACAGCTGAATTTCTAATAAGAAGGTTTAAAAAGCTGGTTCCTGCTTCTCTTGGGACAGCCTAGAATAACGCTATCTTTGAATATAATGAATGTGTCACAAAATGCACTACTCTGTAAGAGATTTAGGGACAAAACAAGAGGGAAAAAAAAGGATCTTAATGGAAGACGAATGCTTATTAAATATCTTTAAATATCTGAAGCTGTTTAAATGCTATTAGATTGGCATCTAGAACCCCCAAATATCTTCTTTCCCCTGGGAAGGAAAGGCTATGCCTCTTTAATCATCCCTTAAATGTAAAGAGGTTTGACCCCCATGCAATGGATAAAAGTCACCCAAAAAATGAACAAAAGAGGTGTTTGGAAAAACCAGAACACCATTCATCCCAGCTAACGACTTGTTCATTATGAGTGATGATGGATAAAGACTTCTCATGCTGAGATGAAATCAAGATTTATATGCATTGTTTCCTCTCCCAACTTGTGGGAAGATCATCATCATTTAATTCTATCTCTGCGGCCAGTGATGGGCATCCAGAGAGCTGGTTATCAAACGGCGCAGTCAGCTGGCAAAAGCCGAAACGTGCAGTTGGCACATCTGGACGGAGCCGCCACAGCCGAGGGTGAACAATGACTCCTGGCAAGCATCCAAATTGCTTGCAGACGCTAGCAGGTCTCATCTACAACCGCCCCTACCAGCATCTCTCTCTCTCTCTCTTTTTTATGAGAATCAGATTTTCACTGCTCCATTCAATTGCTCTCCTCTGCCATTTTTTACAGCTCTTATCGTTCCCCTGGAATATGGCCTTGAGACAGCTCATCCGTGTCCTTCACTATGTTATCTCTTCTAACTTTTATTAAAACTTCAGCTTTCATCTGAAGATAGCTAATTAAATCTGGAACAGATTATATGCCTCTCCTTAAAAAGAACACAAAACTATTTTCTTCAACCTGAGTAATGCCTTTTTTCCTCTCTAGAAGATGAAACCAAAGGTGTTGAAGAAGTCTCATTTATTTACAAAGCAATGATATTTGACATGTCATAAAGAGGTTGATTTATATTAAAGTTGTCTGTGGTATGACAAATCCTAGAGCTATTTCTCAAAATAATTATTTCTCAATACTGGTAATATTTTTCCCTCATATCCTTTAAATATCATAGTTAATACCATAAGCTTATTTTCTGTACAAAGTTGGGTAATGAAGAATTAAAGATTAACAGGTATTTGTGCACATCAAGTGGATTATCTTAAAAAAATTTTTTTTACAGTTGCCCTCATTTAGTAAACATGAAAATTGTTTTTCTTTTATTGCATATCCCAAACACTAGCAACTGAGAGTTTCCCCTATGGAAAATTATGTGAAAACATGAAATTAAAAGCAGTCCTTCAAATTTAGGATTTGGTTTTCAAGATAGCTTTACACCAACTAACAGCTCAAATAGCTTTGCCTTAATTTATCACAAATTATTAATGACAGAGCTTCCATAATCAATATGAACATATTTTTCTCACACATGCCACTGACCCAATCTCTTCCTTAGGCCCAGGGGCAGTTTTAAAAATCACTTTTTTGCTGTAAATCTGCTAACAAAACCTTCCAGCAATGATACCTAAAACAGTATCTAGCCAGTCATCTCTCACACACACACATATATATGCGTGTGCATGCACACACACACACATGTATGCACACACCAAGCATTTTAAACAGTTGAGCTTCTATTTCCAGAGTCTCACCTGAAATTTTCTGAGATCCTTTTCTTCGCTTCACTGCCTTAAGCAAGATTTCTTTCATGGTGACCTTTGTGTTGTCCACTTGAATAAGGGAAAATCCATGAGCAGCATTTCTGTATGAAAAGACAAATATTTATTGAATCATCATTAATATTCAATCAGAGGAATGTTACTGTGGTCTTCACTGTTTAATAAAATTTTACCAAGTGTACCTCAATGTGCCAGTTATTTAAAAACAGACTAACTTCTAATGAAAGAGAGAAGCATTCTGGCATAAATGGTTCCAAGTTAAAGAAAGGTCAGAGTTAGGGAAGGTTTTTCTAATTTCTCTCAAGTTGAATCTACTTGGTCTGTGTGGGTCACTTGTAGCATGGGTTACTCATGTTGGCTCCCAAGCCAAATCCTGCAGCAAGGATTGATAATAAACTTGGCTTGTGTCAGTAGATGTCACTGCAGGCAGATACTATGATCACATTAAAGTTCATGGATCCCTAGAGGAAAACATCATGGAGTGGCAGGGGTAGGAGGTGAGAGGAAAACATTATAGCCCAAAGCAATTTAGAATAAGGAAAAAAAAGGCTCAAACTGGCTAGTAAGTAAGTAAGTAAATAAACAAATTTTAAACGTATAGTCTGTATACTTCAGTAAGAATGTTTTAATCTACTTAGTCCTAGAAGGTCAAATAAAATGTGAAATGAAGCATAAATAATTACAAGTCAAAATACTAACATTACTTGTAGCTTCTAGCCAGTCGAACTTGGAGGGAGTGATTCATTTAGATAGGAAAAACCTGGTAGGGAACAAGTACCCTAAAAACAGAAGCCCATCCCTGATTGAGGTGTAACTTCACCAAGACTGTTAATTGCAATAGCAAGTATCACAAATACTACTCACTATGCTCGGGCACCAGAACAAAACAGGCCAATTCCAAGCAGTTCATGTAACAAATGGGACCCAAGTTTCCAACTATGGAACATGGGAATTACCACAAGGAGTTTGGTCACATTCCCATTTCCTCATAAGAATCTCAAAGGAGAACACATGGCCAAAAAATATGGCAGAACTTTATATTGACAAGAAATCTGAAAGAAAAGCCAAGCCCCAAGCTAAGCCACAGAAAAGCTTCCCAATGGTAGGTCAGGCTGAGAAGGGGCCTTAAACCTAGTTTGGACCCAACCAGGTGGCTGGCTTTCCAGAGGGGCTGTGGGCCCATCTCAAAACGAAGGACCCAATTTGCTTCCCTAATACAAAGACATCTTCACACCCCTCCTCTCCATACGGCTTGCTGTTTAATCCTTGACATTCCATTTGTTAAAAAGCAAAAGCCGACGCTGGTCTAGCCAGCACAATCATCCATTTTAACTTGGTCAAGTTCTTGCTATTGAACAGCAGGCCTGAGAACTGTCAAGCTAATTTTACTGAACACTCTGTTACTGAATCATGCCTGAGATCCAGCCATTCTTTACCTCAGAAGCTGGACCCCATCCCAGAACAATCTTTAAAAGTTTATTTTACTGATCAAAGCAAAATAAGAAATAGCTCTTTTTTTAAAACTATATTTAGGGAGCGATGCAGTAAGTGATACTTTGGCAAGAGCACTGAAATGTAAAGTGCCTTGTGCATTTATAAACTTGGGGGTATTTGCTCTGGCGCTAGGCCAGTGTATGTTTGGAACAAACGCCAATCATCCGCATTCAGGCTTGTCTTCCCCTGCTCTCTCCTCGGAAGTCAGTATGCGCTCCATCTGTGACAATATGTTGGGCGATGGGTGAGTGGGGCCTAAAAGGAACACAAGTTCTCGGGTCTGCACAAACTAGTACTGGGCTAGATCTCACGAACTTCCATCCACCCAGGTTCCACCCGAACTATTTTAGATATGAGTCTGCTTATAAGTTGCTTACATTCTCTCCTAATCTGCTGCTGGCTGACAGCATTATTTCAAACCAATACGTTTATCTTTTTTAGCAAAGGCAGACTAGAAGCTCAAAAGGAAGCCTTGCATTTGCACTAACTTCCATAAATTAAAAGTTGTCCTTTTAAAAGATTTTTGAACAGAGGAAAATCCCTAGTCTGTATTTTTCTGTCATTTTACCAAAATGTACCTGGGTGACAAGGTTAAAGCAAGCAGAGGAAATCCCTGGCACTTATCATCCACAGGCATTACTGATAAATTGTGTGGTGGAGGAATAAAGGATTACCTTCTGTATTTTTTCATTACACTTTTCTTTTGTTACAGAATACATAAATCCATTGTGGCACAATGTAATATGTATCACCATGCTACACCTGCGGACGCTTCCGAGCGGCTGCCATGTCTGTGCAGTCAGGAATGATAAGTGAACCACCCGTGAATGTTAACGATAGTGATCATTCTGAGGTAACTCGGCTCTCCATCTTCCTTTACAGCCTCCGTGCTGCAGCCAGGGTAGCAAGGTTCATAAGAGGAAAATGAAAACAACAGTGGAGGGAAGGGGCGCGCCTGGCACTCAGAATGTGCCTTCACGAGTGTGCGGTATCTCACTCTGGGGCTCCATTTCGGTAAAATTGTGCACGTTAAAAGGAGAAAGAGGTTGTGACCTGTGCACTGCACACTCAACCAGACCCGATGAAGGCTTCCTCAGGTCAGTCTCCCACTCCACTTGCTTCTCTCTTTCCACACAAACACCAACTTTGGATCTTACGCGAAGTCTATAGCACTTAAGGGGGGCAAAATGTTTCGAAAATACAAGAGTACAGAACCTAAGTGGTTCTCAAAAGACCTCTAGGTGTAAGTGTTAAGTTATGCTCCCATTTAATAAATGGATATGGAGACTTGCTCCCACAATTTTCAGCTTGACTTCCAAACATTCTGGGTTTTATGCCTCATTTCTTTATATCCAGAAATTTTTATGTGCTTTCTAAAAAGTCTATAGAAATACATCTTGTGGAGCTGCTTTTATTTAATGCTGGGCATTGGGTCTGTGATTGAAAAGACACTGATCTCGAGGGAAATGTTGGAGCAGGTAAGTAGGGGGCCAGTCCTGCCTCCCTTCTGTGTGGCCCTACATTCCAGTTTCTGAGTTGTGACCTGTGTTGAGGGTGACTAGCCCTTGGACAGACAGGTGGACGGATAGACAGATGGATGACAAATCTTGAGGCCTGGCTCAGAAACTGCTCCTCCTCCTGCTCCCCTCATGGACAGCTTGTTTTCCACCGCAGCAGGGCACTGGGGGACAGTGAGCAAAAGCAGCTGCCCTCCACAGCTCCTTGGGCTGCCTGTGCTGGGCCTAGGATGAAGCGCCCCTTCAGGGAGCTAAATGCTGCCAGGAGTGCTTCAGTCAATTCAAAGTTAGGTCCTGTCAAGTCTTGTAACCACTGAAAAACGTATGGGCATTTTAAAAAGAGATTACTCACTTGAGGAATTCAGCTCTGTCCCAGTGCAAAGCCACTCAGTTACGAGAGGGAACTTTTTATACACACATTAACCTAACACGATGAGCATTTCTCTGCTAAATATTAAACCAGAGGTGACAGGGCACAGGTCCTTATCTGAAAAGCTTAGATTCTACTTATAGGGACAGAGCTGGAAGCAAAACTCAAGTTGGAAGGCAACATATTGGAGAGGAAAACACATGAGCTGGGAGTTAAATACCCTTTGGTTCAAATTTTGGTTCCACGGCTAACCAAAATGTTGCCTTACATGTGGTAATAACCTCAGCTGCATCCATGAGATGAGGAGGCCACTTAATTGTCAGGGAGGATAAACAGACAATGAATGCCATGCACCAGGCATTAAGGTTGGCAAACAGTAACAGGAGCTTAAAAATGTTAGTTCACTTGCCCAAGTCATCACTCCAAGAGAAGAGGCCCCATTCACCCCCTCTCTCCTATTCCTTCAGCACAGATTGCTTATTTGGGGGAATGGATCCCAACCATTGCTTATAATTGGTAACACAGGGCCATTAAAATGTACAATTTGCTGGGCAGGGTGGCAATAGTCAGGGACACTGTAAGCAAGCAACCTCTGGCCCAGGCATCAAACCCCCTCCAAAGCTCATGGATGAGTATTCAGCTCCATTTTCAAAGCTTTCATTTCTGGGGGAATAAGCCAGAGAAGTGGGTATATTGTACCTCAGCTTAATTTACTGGCTTTGGATGGGAATGATGGAAGTAAAGAATCATGGTGGTGGTGCAGAGAAATTCAATGAGACTTGTGAAGAGCTTTTTGAGCTGCACAGTACAAGTTATTATTCAATAATTACAACAGTGACAACAGCAACCACTACCTACTGAGCCTTAACTATGTGCCATGTGCAACGTTAAGCTTTTAAAATCTGTATCAATTAACTGAATCCTAAAATAGGTGCTTATTATATATTCATTTTACAGAATATGAGGCTGGAGGCATTGGGGAATTTACCTGAAGTCACTCTATTAAAGATCTTAATTTTGAATTCAGAAATCAACAATATGGTCTCTAAACCAAGTAGCACAGTCCAGTGGGAAAGGAAGACAGAGAAGCAAAGAATTGCAGTGCTATGTGATAAGTACAAAGACAGAGGTGAGCTCTGAGTGCTACCAAACACAGAGGCACTTAACCAAGCTGGAAAAGGGTAAGGGGATCAGAGAGCTTCTTAATGAAGAGGTCTTAAAACAAGCGATCGTTTAGTTCTGTATCATGCTAAAAAAGCTGGTGGTGACCAGAAGGCAGCAGAGCATAGTAAGCTCTGGAGTAGAGCCTACTTTGGAGTCCCAGCCCTGCCTTCCTGGGATAAATGATATAATCTCTCCCTCTCTAGCTTTCAGCTTCCTCATCTACAAAAGAGGGATAATCCTTAGAGTATAAGATTGTTGTGAGGTCTAAATATTTGCAATGTAGCTAACATAACATCCGTCATATGATAAATGCTTACTTAATATAATAACCATGGCTTTTCTATGTACAAGGAAGTGATAAATGAGATGTAAGTTGTCAACATTTATTGAGCACTTACTTGTTCATCCTCCCAGAAAAAGTAGGTGCTATTATAAGTCCCATTTTATAATGGAGGAAATTGAGGTTGGGCAGGGTTATGACACCTGCCTGGAGTTACACCCAGGGCAGCCAGACCTCAAAGCCTGAGTTTTAAACCTC